ACATAACATCTGGCTGTGAAAAGCAGCAGGGTTTCTATCTGCCAGGGAGAGAGGGCTGGAATGCAGGCATCCTCTTAAAGGGCCAAAGCACAAAGTTTCGTGTGCAGCCACTCACCATGGGCTCTGGGAGAGAGAGGGCAGAGTGGACTACAGCAGTGTGAGGAGAATCCAGGGTTATTGGCTCTGGAGATGAAGCTCAGACGGCAGCCATCTGGATTCCTCTGCTGAGTCATTTGCCCATACTTCAGAGGACACCTTTCTCAGGCAGGCCTTTACCATCAAGGCAGCTTTTGCCTGGCGGTGGGGGTAGAGGGGAGCAATTGCCCTACCTACTGAAAACCTCTCCCCCCACCCCAAGAAGTTTACACCTTGCTGTGGTCTTCAGTCTGAGGCTCATTAAGAGACTTTGAATAAAAATCAGCCTGCAGGCAGAGGCAGATCTCCAGGTGCTTTGAGTCTTTGCCTGATCTGCTTCTGAACAAAGGGCTTGGAAAAGCAGACCTTCGTGCGCATCTTGGTCCTTTCCAAACACACCCAGTCCCAGCGGAAGGAACCACAAACTACAGATTGCTGATAGCTACAGAGTACTCAAAGCCAGTCACAAACAGCATCTGACAACAGCCTGCACCAGAGACCCTCCAAAAAGGCTGGGAGTCCTGGCAGATCTACCTAATACAAAGAAACACACCCAAACAGGCAGCCAAAATGGGTAGACAAAAAAAAAAAAACCAAACAACAGGCCCCAAATGAAAGAACAAGAGAGGTCTCCAGAAGAAGAGACAAATGAAATAGAGATAAGCAATCTATCAGATATAGAGTTCACAATACTGATCATAAGGATACTCAACAGCATGAGAAAAAATATGGAAACTATGAAGGAAATTAAGAACAACATAGTAGAAACAAAAATTACATTGGAAGGAATAAACAGCAGATTAGGGGAAGCTGAGGATCAGATCAGTGAATTAGAAGACGGTAAAAAAATAAATAAATAAAATAAATCACTCAATCAGAGAACCAAAAAGAAAAAGCAGTTAAAAAAACAACAGGACAGTTTAAGGGAGCTGTGGGACAACATGACACAACAATATTTGCATCATTGAAATGCCATAACCTGAAGAAAGTGAACAAGGGATAAAGAACCTGTTGGAAGAAATAATGGCAGAAAACTTCCCTAACCTGGTCAAGGGAAAAGTCACACAAGTTCAGGAGGCACAGAGAGTCCCAAGCAAAGAATCCAAAGAGGCCCACAAGCAGACACATCATAATTAAAATGCCAAAGAGTCAAGAGACAGAGAATCTTAAAGACAGTGAGAGGAAAGAAATTTGTTACCTACAAAGGAACGCCCATTAGGCTGTCAGCTGATTTCTCATCAGAAACTCTACTGGCCAGAAGGGAATGGCATGAAGTATTAAAGGTAATGAAAAGCAAGGATCGGAACCAAGACTCCTCTATGCAGCAAGGCTATCATTCAAAACAGATGGTGAAATAAAGAGCTTCCCAGACAAGAAAAGGCTAAAGGAGTTTATCACCAAACCAGCTTTGCAGGAAATGTTAAAGGGACTGCTGTAATAAGAAGAAATAGAGAAATATACACAATAAAGAATTAAAATGGGAATAGATAAGTACCTATCAATAATAACTTTAAATAAAAATGGATTAAATGTTCCAATCAAAAGACATAGGGTAGCTGAATGGATAAGAAAACAAGACCCAAATATATGCTGTCTATAAGAGATTATCTCTGAACAAAACACTGACCCAGGCTGAGAGTGAAGGGATGGAAAAAAATGTTTCATGCAAACAGAAATGGGGGGAAAAAAGCAAAAAGCTGGGGTAGCAATACTCATATCTGACAAAACAGACTTTAAACTGAAGGCCATAATAAGAAACAATAAAAGTCACTACATAATAATAAAGTGATCAACCCAACAAGAGAATATAACCTTGGTAAACCTATATGTACCCAATATAGGAGCACCTAAATATATTTAAAAAAATAACTCTGGAGGACTTTTAAGAGAGAGATCGACAGCAATACAGTCATAGTAGGTGACTTTAACACCCCACTGGCTTCACTGGATAGATCATTCAGACAAAAAATCAACAAAGAAACAGTGACTCTATATGCCACACTACATCACATGGATTTAATTAACACGTATAGAACACTTCACCCCAAAGCTGCAGAATATACATTCTTCTCAAGTGCACATGGGACATTCTCAAAGATAGACCATATCTTAGGACACAAAACTAGCCTCTAGAAGTTCAAGAAGATTGAAATCATATCAAGCATCTTCTCAGACATTTATACCATGGAATATTACGTAGCTGTAAAAAAGGATCTCTTACCCTTAGAGACAGCATGGTGGGACCTGGAGAGTATTATGCTAAGCAAAATAAGCTAGTCAGAGAAAGACAAGTATCCCATGATCTTACTCATACATGGAATCTAATGAACAAAACAGATCCAGAGACAAAAGTATGAGACAGACTGAAGGATCTCAGAGGGAAGGCTCGGTTGGGGGAGTGGGTGGGGAGAGATTAATAGAAGAACTTATATACTTATATGCATAACCTATGGACACAGACATTGGTATGGGAAAGGCCTGGGGGTGGGGTGGATGTGGGGTAGAGGTGATCAACGGGGAAAAATGGGGACATCTGTAATACTTTCAACAATAAAGATAAATTAAAACTAAAACAAAACAACCAACCAAAAAAATCCATCAGGCATTATGCTATTCTGACCAACTATTACCACTTCTAAATCCTGAAGAAAAATAACTCCTGAAGTTAAAAAGTCGTAAGAAATTTTTATAACTAGTTTCAACTTATACGAATATTTTTATTAAAGACACCTATAACAGAGAAAAGCTTTCAAGTATAAATAAAATATCATGTATTTTTAAAAATGATGATGATGGATATAAAAGTGCAATATTATACTCCCCTGGATACAGTTAAAAGTGACGTACCAATTTTACACTATATAAATGTTAATACCATGTGGGAAAATGCATCCTTTGCAACTATGTAAAAGTATGATGTAAAATGTTATAAATCAACCTAAACATGTGCAAGGGGACAATTTCACAAAAATTATTTTGGAGGTTCACAAGCAAATTAAAAGCACTGGTCTAAAACCATTTACTACTATAGATTGGAAACATAAAATGCACATAACCTCTGACCCTTAGAAGCACCATAATTTATCACCTTTTATTAAACTCTTTGTATGTACTCGGCACTGTTCTAAGGATTAATTTTTTAATCCTTGGAAGTTAATATCTGACAGAAAATGTTTTACAAATACTGAGCAGCTTACTGCCCAAGCACAGAGCTAGTAAATGGAGGAGACTGAGAGTCAGGTTCCATAGATATTTGACAAGAAAATGAGATACAATATCTAATTTCAAAGCTAAAGCTGTTACTATGCTTACAAGTTAACAGAGTGAGGGAGGGGTGAAGGAAACTTGGGGTGTTTAGTAGAAAGGCATTAGGTTTAAGCCTTAATAGGTAGTAGCACTTGAAAAGCAGAAGGCAGGCATGATTAAGGAACTCCAGACAAAACATTAAAAAAGTTACCTACACTAACATAATTGTCTTAAATCACAAAGCAAAATCTGGTTCCAGACACCAACGGTGCATTTAAGTTATTTTTTAAGTGTTCTCATAAAAGAAGTAAAATAAATGTATGCTTCAAGCGTGTGAATGTGCGAGCGGACGCGCTTTAAAAAACATTCAGGAGCAAAAGTAAAATTCTGAACTAAACAATTGGCAAGTTAATTCAGTCCCATAAACACTGAAAGTAGTAACCACCATTCCAAAGGTTAACATTACAAGTAGTCTTTAATAATATAGCATCATCTACCTACAGAGAGCAGAAGTTGTTCTAACGCCCTTTATTTATAAAAAGGGGGGGGGGAGGGGGAGGGAATTTTCTCCAAATAGCTGTATGCAATTCCCTCCCTGTAGCCTCCCACCCTATACTGGCTAGTTGGGTAAGCTATACGCAATGACATTTCAGAAAGCCCCACAGATGAGAAGGAACTCACTTAAGTGAAAAGCTTCCAGTTTCAAACAGGTTTCATATAAAATCGCCAAATGAATTTGTTATTAGAAAAGTAGACGAACCAAAAAACACCTCTTTATTATTGGGAACATTCTTATATTACTTTTTGGAAATTTCAAAGAAAACCTGTTCTTAAATATTTAAGGCCATATTTCAAGGACAACAACAATCTTGTACGCAACTTCATTAAATTACAACACAATAAAGCCAATGTCGATGATCCTCAAAAGACAGAGTAAAGCAATTCATTACAATTACAGAGGCGAACTAGGCCAACCTTCCGTGAGGCGGTAATGCCGCGTCACAAACTGCGAATTCCAGGAGAAGCTTTTCCCAGGCACACAAATGAGGTCGGAGGAGTCCTCTGCTGTGCTCAACGGTACAAATGTATTCAGCAACGAATGTATTCAAAAGATTAAAATCGCGCACTATCCTTTCTCACTATCATTGCTGTTGGCTGCTGACCTTTTCGTAAAGAAAGGGTACCGAACTCTCACAAAGCTGTAAGCGCTGGGTCAAGGAGAAAAATCGATGTGATTTTCGAATCCAAAGTAAACAGTGGGGGCAGGGCAACACGAACGGTCAACCTAAGCTCCAGGAAGACGAGATCAAAGGCCGAAGGGGGAGGGGGACAGCGCTCTCCATCCTAACAATAAATGTGAGGAGGTCGGGAACGGAGCGCGAAGGTTCCAGAAATGTGTGATGAGGGTTAACCAAGAACTTCTCAAACTACTTTCTCTGAAAATTGCTCCCTTCACAAAAAAATATCATTTCCAAGACTTAGATAAGGGTCCCCCGACCTTCCCTGCCCTCGTCCTTCCCCGTCTGCCCGACTAGGCCGCAGGACCCCGGGCGCTCACGCCACCCTCCCGCCTTGGGCCCGCGCTGGGGCGAAAGCTTCCCCGCCCGCCGCCGCCCCACCTGTGTCTTGCAGACCTCGGGCGCTTCTGCGCCACCCGAAAAACTCCCCGCCCGGCCGCAGAGGCCCAGAGTCCGGCTTCCTCAGACGCGGCCGGACGTCAAGCAACCGCCCAAACCCGCTCGGAGGTTCTCAACACTCTGGACGCGCGCGCCCGCGGGACTCACAAAGCCTTCCAAGCCCAGCTCTCCCGAGCGCGCACGTCAGGCGGCCGCCCCGCCCCGCCCGTCAGCCCTCGCTCGCCTTCAGGGTCTTGGCGCGCCGTCGCTCCGCGTGCGCGTGACGTTCTCCCTGGCGTCTTTCCCAAGGACTCATCAAAGCCGTCACGCAGCCAAAATTCTGTACACTGTGACCCTTATTAATAGTCTATGGGGGGAGGTAAATCCTGGAGTCACCCTAAAAACCCTTGGAGGTAGAATAGGAAAGGAGGGTGGAAAGCTCGGAGAGAGCCACGTGAGCCTGGGACTCAGTGCGGACCCCAGCTAGGGTCTCGGGGGCCACGTGGATAGCCCCTGAGCTTGAGCAATCCCGGACAGAACCTGGGGGTCTGGAGGAATGAGGAAAGTGTAGTGGGCAGTGAGAGCCCTGAGGGCTAGAGAGAGCCCTGGGCACAGTGCACATGGGAGAACAAAGGCTGGTCTATTAAGTGTTCTGGAACCTAACCTTTGTGACTAATGTATCTGTTACTGGACAGGACAGAGACCACCAGGACAAGGTTTGCCTCAGGCTGGCTTGTAGTGTGTGGGTCTTTGACTTCCTATACGAAAGGTTTCACAACAGGGGACCAGATGGGTTTGAGAGTATGTTTATTAATGCTGGGGACAGTGAAACAAAGAAATTAGGGTAGAAGAAACAACAGGAGAGGCTAGGCAGTGCTCTGCTTTGACTCTCTAGAAATGTTATAGGAAAGAAGTGAGCCAAAGCCGGGCTGCTGTTAGCTCAGTAGGACGTGAAGGTCACAGAGATAGAAGTGAGCCTGGGCAGGGTTGCTTTAGCTCACTGGGAAGTAAGTGAAAAAGGGGACCTTGGAGACAGGATCAGGTGGTGAGCCTGGGTGGAGCTCCCACTGCCCACTACTCCCCAGGTTGTAAGATTTGTGGGGACCCTTAGAAATAAAAAAGTCATGCCTGGGAAGGGACATGGGCATGCTCTGGTGTGAGACAGCACTGACTCTTTGTCCTGAGGACTTTTTATCCATGTTTTTTTCTTTTTTGCAGGCGAGAATCTTAGGGGAGGGTTTCAGTAGAATATTCATTAGCTTATCAAGTGCATTTAAAATATGCTGGTGCATTAAAATGAGCGTATAGGGGAGTTTTGGATTATTCTTTGGTCTGTTTTACTGCTTTACTTTTATCTTAGGTCTAAGATAACCCCTTAGATCTGTCTAAGATAAACCCTTTAATGGGGTTTTTGTTATTTGTTCCCCACCTTTATCTGTCCTTGGGTTTAGCTGGAACAAATGGCATCAATTGGGTCTTTACTCTCTATTTTCCCAGGTGAGGGCAATTTAAGTACTGTATTTTCTGGTTAGGGAGGAAGGTGTGAACCATTTGCTCTCAAGTGTTCTTGATGCTTATCGAATGCTGAAAGGGGGAAATCAAAGTGAACATACTCTTTTTTCAAAAGTCCTTTAAAGTTAGTAAAATACCAAGTCTATTCAAGAGTATGCACAAGAGTGTATACACACACACACACACACACACACACACACGGCCCTGTGCATTTAAGATTAGCTAAATGCCTTGTTTAACTTAATTCCAGATGAATTATTATTCCTCTCAATCAAAATTAATGATTTGGACTGTTGGACGACTACTAGGGGAGGCTTTTAAATGTAAAATTAGGGGTTGTTTGGTAGTTTCCACAAATCTCAGAAAGGTAATGTACGGACGGAAAAAAAAAGGCCTCTCTTTTCCTGTGCTGTGGCCTTCCACAATTTATAAGCAGCAGCTGGTAATTAAACCAGCAAGATTGCTGACTCTGACTCCTCTGATTCAAACAGGCACTCTGTTCAGACTCAGAGGAACTACTCTCAAGGCTACATTCTTGCATCCCTGTCCTCCCTGCTGTTTTCACCACTCAGGGATAATTTCCCTTCTCCCTTCCCTTCAAACAAGCCTCTTTTGAACTCTTCATAACTTTTGCTCCAAGTATGTTTTACAGGCTTGGGGAAAATACTGATAAGAAGCCTCCCTAGGATATCTTCTGGACTGTCTCCTGGAAAGTAAACAAAGTATAATTTTTCAAGACAACCTCCTTGGTATCTGCTCGACTTCAAGATAACCCAAACCCCTCCCTTCCTTGTCACCTAGCAACCTACCTGCTTAAAAGCTGGCTGGCTCTTGTTTCTTGACCTTGTATTATTAGCAATACATTGGCCCTTTCCCTTTTCAGGGAAAGTAAAAATAAACTTTCTTTCTGCATCTATTATCTCAGTTGTGAAATCTTTCACAGCCCTTGTTACCTGCCCAAACCTTTACAGGTAACAGTCATCCCAAACAGAAAAATCTGTTAGGAAGGTATACATTAATACAGACGTTTTAAATGATTTTGCTCTTATACCCTCCTAAAAGAATTCTGAAAAACTGTGATTGTGTACCTTCTCCCTCATATTTTAGATTGATCAAAGTTTTTCATCTGTCTTAAATAGTTGCAAGGGATGCAAATTGTTTTATTGTATATTGACACCTTAAATGTTACATAACTCTTAAATGTACCCATTCCAGACAATTTGATACCCATCATCAATTTTTAAAACTACTACATTGACAAACTTATTTCTTTCTTTTTTTTTTACAAGTCTTCCTTTTTCTCCACATCCTCACCAGCACTTGTTCTTTGTTGATTTGTTGATGGTAGCCACTCTGACAGGGGTGAGGTGGTTTAAATTAGCATCTCTTTGATGATTAGTAACATCAAGCATTATTTCATACGTCTGTTGACCATCTGTAAGTTCTCTTTGGAAAAATGTCTATTTGGGTTCTTTGCCCATTTTTCCCTCTTTTTTTTCTTTTTTTTCCTTTTATTTTCTTTTCCTTTCTAGGTTGCTTTAACCCATACTAGTTAACATATGAGTTTGGTGCCTGGTGTGATGATATGGATTTGGGGTGTAAGCTGACTAAGTAGTTTTAGTGTGTCAGTTGAAGGGGTAAGGCAAACTCATAATAGTCCAACGTGGGTTTACTGTAGAACTCTGTCTTTTTCTGTGCTTCTGCAGGTAGTGCTTACAGCCTCTTAGGGGACAGGAATCACCTTGCACAAAGACATGGACTGTGAGTCAAGGACAGTCCCTCTGCTGTTAACTCAGTCTTGGCTTTCACCCCATCTGCACAGAGAATTAGCTGCTGAATTAGAACCTTGCTCCTCTTACAGGGAATTAAGAAGGAAAGTGTGGGGTTTTGAGTAAGATTACTAATCAACATGTGAAATCTTGTACAATTTAAATAAAATCTAAGCAAAAAATAAATAATATAATCATTTCTTAGCCTAGGTAAATCATAGACATTAGCAAATTAAGGCAGCAAAAGACCCACACACATATTTGTAGTCAGGTTTGTACTAATTTCTTGATAGAGGGTAATATATATTTGGTCTTCAGGGTGTGATTTGAATAAAACTTTTTCCTTCTTTTTTTTAATCTTATTGTTGAAAGTATTACAGATATCCCCTTTTTTCCTCCATTGATCCTATCCACCCCACCCCCAGGCCTTCCCCATACCAATGTCTGTGCCCATGGGATATGCTTATAAACATAAGTTCTTTGATTAATCACTCCCCACCCACTCCCCTATCCCCAGTTTCCCTCTGAGATTGGTCAGTCTGTTCCATGCTTCTATGTTTCTGAATCAATTTTGTTCAACAGTTTATTTTGTTTATTATATTCCACATATGAGTGAGATCTTGTGGTACTTGTCTTTCTCAGACTGGCTTATTTGACTTAGCATAATACTCTTCAGTTCCTTCCATGCTGTCCCAAAGAATATGAGATCCTTATTTTTTACAGCTGCATAGTACTCCATGGTGTAAATGTACCACAGTTTTCTATCCACTCATCTACTGATGGGCACTTGGGCTGTTTCCAGATCTTAGCTATTGTAAATTGTGATGCTATGAACATGGAGGTTCATAAGTTCTTTCTGATTGGTGTTTCGGGTTTCTTAGGGTATATTCCTAGAAGTGGGATCACTGGGTCAAATGGCAGGAAAATTTTTAATTTTTTGAGGAAACTCCATTCTGTTTTCTACAGGGGCTGCACCAGTCTGCATTCCCACCAGCAGTGTACTAGGGTGCCCTTTTCTCCACACTCTCGCCGCCACTTGTAGTTCATTGATTTATTGATGGTAGCCATTCTGACAAGTGTGCAGTGATACCTCATTGTGGTTTTAATTTGCATCTCTCTGATGATCAGTGACTTTGAGCATTTTTTCCTGTGTCTCTTGGCCATCTGTATGTCCTCTTTGGAGAAGTGTCTATTTAGGTCCTTTCCCTATCTTTTTTCAATTGGATTGTTTGGCTTCCTTTTGTTAAGTTGTAGGAGTTCCTTGTATATTTTGGATATTAACACTTTATCAGATGTGTCATTGGCAAATATGTTCTCCCATACAGTGGGATACCTTTTCATTTTGTTGATGGTTTCTTTTGCTGTGAAGAAGCTTTCTAATTTGATGTAGTCCCATTTGTTTATTTTCTCCTTTGTTTCTCTTGCCCTAGGAGATGTATCAGCAAACATATTGTTAGGAGAGATGCCTGAGATTTTGCTGCCTACATTTTCTTCTAGAATTTTTATGGTTTCATGTCTTACATTTAAGTCTTTTATCCATTTTGAGTTTATTTTTGTATATGGTGTAAGTTGGTGGTCTAGTTTCATTCTTTGGCATGTACCTGTCCAATTTTCCCAACACCACTTATTGAAGAGACTGTCTTTACTCCATTGTATGTTCTTGCATCCTCTGTCAAATATTAACAGACCATAATGGAATGGGTCAATTTCTGGGATCTCTGTTCTGTTCCACTGATCTATATGTCCATTCTTGTGCCAGTACCAGGCTGTTTTGATAACACTGGCTTTGTAGTGTAACTTGGAATCTGGTATTGTGATCCCTCCAACTTTGTTCTTCTTTCTCAAGATTGCTGTGGCTATTTGGGGTCTTTTT